CCGACGGAGACTGCATTCAACCGTGAACCCTTACCTTGTCAACCGTGGGATCTTGGTCGGCAGTTCCTTTCTGGTTCCGCCTGTCAATCACGGTCGATCACCATCCTCGACGCCCGCAAACCACTTTTGAAATTGAATTGCAAATTGTCATCGCGATCATGAAATTACGCGGAGTCAAGCGGAGTAGCCTATTGCGGTTAGTGGTTGAAATGAAAGACGGCGACCATCGCGGAAACCTGCTTCAGCGCCGAAGTTGAACTTGAACAGAGCAAGATTTACGCACAGTAGACCCGAGAGCCGAGAGGGTGCGCGACCAGCAACTTCCATGGGCATAGTCTGAGTCGCAGGATTCCTTTTTGACCGGGCTTCGAGTTCAAGACTTGCTGCAAATGGTATAAGTAAATGCTCAGATCCTCCTTCGCTTCTCACACCCCGTCAGCAAATCGTCCTGCATATCAGTTGAGATTCAACCTCGACTAGATCTATATTAGCTACCGCGTGGCCGGCAAGCTACCGGTGCGATTCCGGGCAGATCATTGCATAAGACACCGACGAAATCCCTTCTTTGTCCTTCTTGAACGCATCGCATCAATATATGGCACCAAAAGCACCAACCTGGATGTCAACAGTACTGGGACCTGAAGTCCAAGCCCGGTTCGAGCCCGGGTCAGGTCATGGGCAGCGGCGGACGCCACATGTTTTCTTTGGCACTTGCGGGGACTGGTACATACACTAATTAATCGTCGTCTCGACGGGTTTCAACGACGGCAACGAGAGCTGCGAGGGCTTTCGGCGCCCGACTCAGCTTGACTGGCCTTGACGGGGAAATGTACGAAATGTCACTTGTAGTTGAAGACTCAGCGCTCGGCCCTGATGGATCCGGAGTTTATTACAGTGGATGGCTGCGCAGCAGGGAAATGTTAGTCGAAGTCAAGTCGAAGTTCAAACGATGGAAACGCGGGCGGCATGGGCGGGAAGAAATTGCATCAATAGCACCGCCAGTGTCGGATTGCGAGACAGAACAAGAATACAAAATTAGCGCAGAGGAGGATTCAAGGGCAGACCTACAGCGCGCGGCCGCGCCTCCATCAGCAATTCTGTGGTTGGGTACCGGAACAGCTTGTGAGCGGATGAACCCGGTTCGACTCCGGGGCAGGTCTTGCTGTAGTTCTCAAAATTCATTTTTTGTGCGCTTTCACACCTGTCCTTGGTTGAAAGGTTGATGAAGGTCGTTGGTTGGATCAAGTTAAAGTAGCTCTCCCCTGGTTGTATATGACGGATCCTGATTGAAATACAGTAAACGCACGGAATTTGAATTCCATTTCGAGTCGTTCAAACACTGCTAATTTGGGACGGCCGGCATATACACTGTGAGACCCGGGGCACATGAAAATCATGTCCCTCAGTACCCCCCAATTCATGTCTGGATTGCATGAATATCAAAGCGACGCGCATTAAAATCACCTCCCTTTCAGTGAAGTACGCAATTTCGATTCATGTCCGTTTTCGACGTTTTCATGTGCCTTTTTCATGTCCTCTTGACATGAAAATGACTGGGAAGCCAGTGAGTCCGATTTGAGTCAGGCCGTATGATAATGAATACTATTCCCTGGGACCCCGAATTTCAGATGAAAGGAATGTGAATTTCAAACTAAATGTACATGATACAACGATGTGCTACTTGCACCCGCCCACTCTCGCCTCCGCCATCCGCATCATTGTAGTCGATAACTTCACTGTCGGCTGAGACTCATCCTGATTAGAAGGTGTCCGGCCCGAGAAGATCAACAGTACATACCTCGAGTTGCGTGAAGCGGAGCGGGAAGGTCTCGTAGCATCAAGAGCAATGGATGGGGTACGTACCGGAGATCGGAGCGAGAGTCGCCGCCGCCGACGTTCCAATGCTGACCGCCGCTGACTTGAGGACTTCTTGAGTTCGTGTTGGGTCAGAACAGAGTGAATAAAGCGGAATCAGCGACGCACCGGATACCCTTTGGCCTCAGCGGTGAGTCGGAATCGAGTTCTACACCTAATTGTGACTGCCACGGTGGCTTGGGCACGCCGCCAGACGTGTGGTCGCTGGGAGGTCCCACAAGCGCCGTGAGGGTGTGAGAATGGCCTGGAGGTGTATATTGGCATGTAGTTGAGTCGATGGGGGGCTTCTGTGGCGAACGAGTGGAAGAGGAGGACGGGGGCAGAAGGGAGGTGACGGTTGGGAGGAAGGAGTGGAGCGCCGTGACAGGCGTGACACCACTGACCTCATCCGCAGCAGCCGCTCCACACAACGAATTTCCGCCCTTCTCAAGTCCGTCTCCGTTCAAAAATCCCACCGTGGAACAGCGTGGTCGTCGAATGTCCGGACGGGGTACAGATCAATCGAAGAACACCCTAGCTTGATCAATATTCTTTTCCATCTTTCTCGTTGATTTTCATGCATTTCTCCCCTGATTTCGGCTTCGCAAATTCAGCGGAACTGTTCCTGAAATTCACCAAAGAGACCATGATTTTGTACTTGGTGTGGAGTGAGTCAAAATCACTCAATAATGCCTGAATGACCCCAGGTGCATGATATGTTCATTTCAGCCCACGGCCCCTGATTCTGCTTGTTCATGGCACGGCGACATGAAATTCATGTGCCGATGTTTTCACAGTGATATGTCCTCGGCTCGAGAAGTTTCAACACAAGTGTCGGCATGCGAGACAGAACAAGATCAGCGCAGAAGAGCATTCAGATGCAGACCTGCAGCGCGCAGCCGCGCCTCCGTCAGTAATAACGATTGCCGTTGGAATCTGTGAGCGGTGAGCCCGGTCGGCTCCGGGGCAGGTCTTTTCATCGAATCTCAGAGGCGTTTTTTTTTTCTTTTTGGCTATTTTGAACACATACTGGTCTTCCTGACTCGAATCCTGAGAGTCAAACTTCCCGTTGAGGCCGACAGTTGGCCGGTACATGTCGGATTCAGGATTTCGATGTTCAGGCTTCAGTTCGATTCTGGGGCAGGTCATTTGTGTGTTCTCTGCTGCGCAACTCTTTTCTTATTCTCGCCTCAAATCGGACTTCAAAGAATCGAAACTCAAGTAGACACCTCGGAGCCTGGAGGCATGCATACGAGGCTTAGTTTCCGCCCTCATATGTGAACAGAATCGTCACGACGCAAGAGAATGAGAAGTGTCGATCATGATAACTATGATGCGATACGCGCGGGCATCTGCCGCCGATGGTTAATCTCTAGATCTGGTTCGACCCCAGCAAGAACCGTGAGCCTTGATATGGAGATGTTTGTTCTTTTTGAAGGCATTTGTTATTTTTAGTAATAGCTAGCAGCGAGCAAGACGTTCTGAATCACACATTAGTTGCCCAAGGGTATAATATCACCATTCAAAAACAGAGTAGCTCCAGCAAATCGAGCGAAATGTGAGATCTCGACTACATCCCCTTGACCTGCGCCTCACACCATCTCCACATCTTCGCCGCCAGCTCTGCGTCGTTCGTCTGGGGGTGCGGTTTGCCGAGGCGCGCCCAGGGAAGGAGGTACTGTTTACCGGTCAGCAACATCAGAAGAGGGCAGGAATCACGCACCTTCCCACCCAACGCGCTCGCCTCGGGCGCGGTACCAGCGTACAGCTGCGTCAGGGCGCCGAGTTCGACAGGATACAGCATCCAATTCTGTACCGCCGTCAACCAAGAAAACCATGACGAAGAGCGGACGTACCGTAGTGGCTGACTGAATTGTCCCAGAATGTCTCGCCAAATCCGTCTTGATGTTCCCCGGGTGGAGAGCGATGCTGACGATTCCCTGCTGCCCATAACGGCGCGCCAACTCGTTCGAGAAGAGGATATTCCCGAATTTCGACTGCCCGTACAACTTGTGCGTGCCCATCTTGATCCTCTCGGGTCCGTCGCGGAGAGTATCGAAGAGGATACCCGGGGCGGTGTAGGCGACTTGGTGTCCCATCGATGAGACTGTTACTATGCGGGCCTGAGAGGTGGAGGAGGCGGAGGACAGGAGGAAAGGGAGGAGGAGGGTCGTGAGGTGAAAGTGGCCCAGGACGTTGGTACCGAATTGGAGGTCATAGCCGTCGGGCGTGAGTGAGGCGATTGGCGGGAACATGACGCCGGCGCTGTTGAAGAGGACGTCGAGCTTCGACTCCTTGCTGCATTGCGTGTGAGTCGGGTTAGGGTAGAGATGAGATGGACCACGTACCTCTGAAACTCCTCCACCGTCCCTCGAATTGACTTGAGGTTGGCGAGATCGAGCCTGATGAAAATGGGCGCTTTGCCAGTCTCCTTGGTCAACGCCTCCACGGCCTCTTTGCCCGCAGCCTCGTTCCGGCCGGCAATATACACCGTGGCATTCTTGGTGAGCAGGACGCGTGCCGTCTCCTTCCCAATGCCTCCCGTCCCACCGGTGATGAAAATGACCTTGCCAGTCTGGTTTGGAATGCGGTCCGTGCCCCACTTCGGTTTCGGAGGGAAGAGGTTGGTCCAGGTGCTGCTTGCCATGGTGGGAAGAGAGAGAGAGAGAAGGGGTTCTTGCCGGGTAAACGCCGCCGTCGAGGACTTTAAGTATTAAACGCCCTTGCCGCATGTGGATGGTCCGCTACCCTACTATGTAATTGCATGGCTGTACGTGTATGCCGCGTACACGTACCCTGGCCGGAGCGTGATACGCCGTGAATCCATAGTAGACCGCTTCTTCGAAACATTCTAGCTGTGCTTCGTACTGCGCAATCTATCCGGGCGGCGTTGGTTCATTTTCAGTCAACCGTGGGAGAAGCGGCCGGGGCATAATCTTGCTGACGCTGAGCGTTCATTTTAATTTTTCGAGATCGGGAATACGTAACAACGCCGTGGATTTCGTTGCCGAGTTTGCAGAGCGAGGTGTGGCCAAGTTCTTAAACTTGTGGCGAAGTTCGAGTTCGTCGTCCCGTCCAATTATTAGATCTAGGGTAGAATGGCCAATGTAAACTAGTGAGTATGCGGCTGTTCCATTGCTTAGTATGGCACTGTGGCGGAGTGGTTAACGCGACAGATTCGAATCTATGATGTTAACCGATTCATCTGTTCCACTTGTTGGGCGCATGTTCGAATCATGCCAGTGTCGTAGGACGTGGTGATGCTCCTTTTTTTGATACCCCGCGGTCCGGATTCGACAAGTTGGTCCATTCTCAGCGGCGCCTATATGCGAATTGAAGTTTTTTTCAACCCTCAGGGCGATCTATCTCATGAATCCGTTTGGGATGAATTTCAAGCATGGGAAACGCGGGACATCAACGACGCGGTTTGGCAGATCTCAATAAATGTCCAAGCTCTGGAGTCCCATTCGACACACAAAGGCCGTCGTTGTTTCAGCAAGGGCAGCTACCATTCTATGCACAAGATCAACACGAAAGGCTTCGAATGGAATTGGGAATGTTCAACTCACGGCACAACACGCTGGGCTTGAGGCGGTGCAGCCGTCCTCATTGCAGTCCTACATGGCAGTCAATAAAAGCCTGAAAAATGTAGAAGCAGAGGGGTGGACTCACGCAGGTGGAAGGGAAACAGTTCTGTCTCGCATCAAGGGATGCACCGGCAACGACGGTGGCCAGGAAGGCGAGGAGGAGGACGGAGAGGCGCATTTTTGTGGGTGCTTTTGGGTGCTGGAAACCTGTGGCTTGGGATGAAGATTGAAGGTCGAAGTGGCCAGCTTTTAAACCTTTTCATGGAGTCCATCATGCTTCTCAAGAATCACACGGCGGCGGGATGAAAAATGATTACGGGAGAAGACGACTCGGACTCTCACGCGCGTATGAGGGATCGCCATACAAAACTTCGGGAAACAGGCAGATCGTTGTTCGCGAAGTTCAAGCCGCAGTCCCGTGTCTGAGCTTTGTGGGACGAAAGCGGTCCATCTCCCGAAATGAATTCAATGTTCTGACAGTTTCCAGGCTTGCAAGTTGCGGGTGGAGAAGTAACCCTCAGAAGTTGGATGGACATATGCAACTGGTATGCAACATTGATCAATTGAATAGAATGTAATCCACATGTATAGTGGGTACCGGCAACTCTCGATTGATCACCGTGCCATCACGTGCCAGATGTCATCGAGAACCTGTTGTCGGACGACCGTTTCGTCCACTGTAAAACAACGGCTAGACCTCATGTCCTAGGATTTTACATACTACATTAATCCATAGTTCTCTAGCTCCAAACAAAAAATCCCGGCATTTGGGCACCAGGAACCCTTCGAACAAACTCATGCCGATTCAGGCACCTTTAGGCACGTATCCCGGAGTCGAAATAAAATCTGGAAAAAATTGAGAGTCCTCTGTGTATTATATCCTCGTGGGCTGGGATGTTTTTGGGGTCAGAAATCACCTGTGGGAGATGCAGACCGGGCTGCGAGCATGCCAGGCAGTCTGTTTGGCGGAGCTTTGATCGCTGATGTCTGCCAGCTCACACCGACTACCTCGACGACGACGCCGCAAATGAGGCCTCACCGACGTTCCAGACCTCCCATATTACCTCCAATCCTCATGGACCACGACCATCTTCACTATCTCGTGCCGTACACTGAGCAAGACCGCTGCATTGGCTCGACTTGCCCCAGAACGGATTGACGGGTGGACTGGATAGAAGCGAACGAAACACGCGTCGGATGCGGCTAAGAGGCTAGGGATCGAAGTTCGATGGCTTTTGAGGTGCGCATGTCTGCGTAGACGGACCTGACCGAAGCCTCAATTGAGACCTCAGATATTTGGACCCACCAGACCCCCGCCGACGTGCAAGCCACCAACCGGATGGTTCCTCCGAGCTCCTACACCATTCCTATAATCTCTCCATCACCTTCCACGACCCCATACTCCGTCGCAGACTCACACTTGCACGGAACGCGGTGGGCGTGATGCTGAGTGTTCGTCACTCACTGGAGTCTTGTGCGGGGTGTAATGTCTGTAGAACAAGCTCATATGTGTTGTACCCTCCTAATTCAACCCTCTGTAACCATTTCCGAGGCCAAAATCCTCGTTCACTCTCATGCATACTCGCCGTCGAATCACACCCGGGTTATCTCACTTTGTGGCGACCCAATATTCGCGTAAAATTCCCATGGTTGAACGGGGAGCTAACTTAGCATGTCAAGTGTTTGAGTTCCAAGTTTCAGAGCAATCCGAGCAGTGTAGCAGATGTTATTCAAAAAATGGTCGTCCGACATCAGAATCAGAATTTTAATGAGAGCCAAGTGCACGTGATGGCACGGTGATCAATCGAGAGTTGCCGGTACCCATGTATAGAATGGACTCCACATGTATCAGCGGAAAGGTGGAGCGGGTCACGGAGGCGCCCCTGGATCGAACGAGTGCATGCAGGCCAGCGCTTCTTTCAAGCGTGTTTACAGCATCGCGGTGTCGGAAAGGAACACGATGCATCTGAGCCGAGGGCACGCAGTGAAGACGGATGGGAAGAGATATGCACACATGCCAAAGCATTGAAAGAACAGTGCGAAAGAGACGGGATGTGAGTGATCCCTGCGAGTTGGTAGACGAAGGGCCGGGGAAGGTATAATCGCAGTTCAGAAGAGTTCAGAGCGATCCTGCGAGCACACTTTTGCATTTGATCCCAATGCGTGCCCATGAAATCGAAGAAATTGGTGCGCCGGTGCATATCTGGAGAATCGAGCCTACGTCCTGCCTGTACGTTTTGGGCGAATCTGTGTATCCATGGCCAAGGAATAACTTCCTCCCGGCCTTTTGGAAGAAGTCTGCGGGCTTGGCCGCGAGCAGGCGCAAGAATATGGAGTAGGTAAAGGTCGGCATGGAGTCCAGCCTGGCTTCGCCTTCGGAGAGGAAGACGACGCGATACAGCAACTGCTCTACCCTGACTTCGATTGAGATCTCTTGCTGAACGACTGGGATTGACTGGCCCAGAACGCCCATCATGCTCATCCTCCGAGTCCCACGGAGTCCCACCGTGCTGTTCAGCGAAATGGGAAAATTCTACCTACATAGAGTTCCTTACGAGCGTTGACGCCCGCACACATGTCACAAGGGTGATCCCGAGTTACGAATATCAACCAATTGCAATGCAAATAGACAGCATCGACATTCTTCGCGCTTTGCCAAATTCTTGCCTCCCTATTTTGTGGAAGGGCGTTAACAGTCTCGCAAACATTCGGGCCTCAGGCATCTGGCACTCACTTGGCAGTCCGTTGATCCCTCTTTCTTTTCTTCTTTTCTTCTTGCTTTCAAATGGGAACGTTCGTTCCGGCGGAAACCTATGGCTTGGGATGATAGATGAAGGTCGCATTGGCCACCTTCAAAGGCCACCATGGTGTTCACGAATCATGGCGCCGGGATGAGAAAATGATTTCGGAGGACGACTCTGCCGGACGTATGAAGGATCGCCATCCACAAGCGGGAAACAGGCAGATCCCTGTTCGTCAAGGTCAGACCGCAGTCCCTTGTCTGAACTTTCCGCGCGTCCGATTCCCGAAATGAATAGAATGTTCTGACAGTTTCCAGGCTTGTGGATGGAGAAGTTCGATGGACATCTGCAACAGAATGGAACCTACTTGCTTGTATCAGAGCAAACACAATATCGACCTCTGGATGGATTTTCATAGACAGTAATAGAAAAGTACAGGGTCAGCCTACTTGAAGAAAAGGAAAAGGCCAGTGCCAACAGCGAATCCGCTGGTCCCGAATCGAACGAGTGGAAAGTCCAGAATCCTGGGACCTGCGTCCAGGCTGGCAGCGCTTCTTCAAGGCATGTCTAAAACATCGCTGACATGAAAGCGGGATGTTGCAAGATAGCTCCGTAATCCCGCTTTCCGTTGTTACCTGGCAGTGGAGTCACTCGAGTGCATCTGTCGAATTTCCCAGCCGAAGGATTCGAAGCTCCAAGTTCAACATGTCGTCGAATTAAATCGTGTCCGGCATCCTGGAAGGCACGATTCGGCTGTTCATGATAACTGTGAGTGTACCAATCCCAGAGAAGAAGAAAATGACACAAGAATATAATGCGCCGCCCCCTGAGTCGAACAGAGGTGTCCGAGTTGGACGGAAAATGAATGATATTTATAGGTATCGGTATTATCCAGGTCCCCATCCCCGGCGTTCTCGAGCGGTATTCAGGCTGTAGCCAGAGTCTCAAAGCCTCGGCGGAAGACAACTTGCAAAGAAACAGAAAGGAAAAAAAGTTAGACCCCGTGGTGAATGCGCTGCCCGAATTAAACGAGCGAGGGAATACATCCTGGGACCTGCACCCAGGCCAGGGCTTCTTCAAGCCTCTCTGGGGAAAAGGAAGCCCTGCGTATCGCCAAATATTATGCACCGCCCTGAGTTGAACAGAAGGCTTTAGCACGGAATCGATCCCATTTACCAGCATCATCTTCATTCGCAGCCTCGACCTAAATGGAAGCTGTCGTCAGAGCCTCGTCGGAAGACAACTTGATCTTGACTGGATCGGCAGAGGCGGCAGAGTCTTTGACCTTGTTTGCATGCTTTCCATCTTGTTCCCGACCACCACAAGCTGCGAACGGGGTTCCAACGGACCGAGTTCATTCCAACACTGATAATTAAGTTCTTGCCAACTCACGTGCATGCAGACAACGCCAACTGTCGCCGGTGCCGGCGGCCAAGTGCTCCGAGCAAACACGAGCGACCAGTCTACGCGTGATGAATGGCTCGGGTGAGTCGCACATCCTGAAGGTTGAGCCGTGTTCTGCGCTGATTGAGGCAAGATCACTGAACTCTGATAGCGACACGAGCCGCGGGTGATACATTGAGCCTGGGATTGTCGGAGCTTGGTTTCCTCTGTACCTTGCTCCATGGCCACGCCACGCCTGCCACAACGGCCTCGACATCCTTGGCCTGGTACATGGCCTTAGCCACAGACCGAAGCATTAGCATCCACGAATTCGAGGTCCTGAAGGGCGGGTCAAAGTGAGGCCGAATCACCATCATGCGCCAAGTCGCATCACGCCTACGGTCACCCGCCCCACCCCCACCGCTTCCCCCCTCACCTGAGGAAAACTGCGGGGTGCTCGGGCCGGATTTGTCTTCTTTAAAACGTCCAGGCAAAGCTTGGTCGCCGATACCATTTACTATGGGCTTTTTACCCTCC